TAAACCCTAAACCAAACCCTAAACACCTAGGATGACGGATGCCCACCATTCGCTCGCAACCCTGATTGAAGGTTTCGGCTATTGGTGTTCGGGGATCAGGGTTGAGGCTGAAGGTAATGTGGCGGCCTTACTTATTGCCTGTACTATTATGAGGGTTCCTTATTATACGTATGGTTTAACAGGCCCCAAAACCTTATTCTAATTATTAAGGCCTATACATTATACTTGTCTGCATGCTCCCTACACATTCAGTATTATACTTGTCTGCATGCTCCCTACACATTCAGTATTAGGGCTTATAATCAGTGCCTGCAAAAAGCTGGCCATGCTACGTAGTTTAAGGTAGGCTTAAGTCAGAACTTAGCCGGTAGAGTTTAGGGCGCAGGGCAAGCAAGAAAACCCTAAGTTCCCTAAACCCTGAACCCTTAAACCCTAAACCCTAAACCCCTAAACCCTAAACCCTTTAACCCTAAAGCCCTAAACCCTAAACCCTAAACCCTAAACCCTAAACTCTAAACCCTAAACCTCTAAACCCTAAACCCTGAACTCCCAAGCTGGTGAGGACTGCCACGTTGCTCTGCTGTCGATGACTGCCATGAGCGAAGGGGTCACGCTGACAGCTGCAGAAGCGCTTTGACTCGAGTATCTTAGTTCTCCAATACCCAACCTTTAAACTTTCTGGGTTCTTATAATTTAGTAGTAATCTGAAAGTTTAACCTTTTATTTCCCTGGCTTGTTGGGGAAGTAAGCTATTGGGAGTTTGGTTTTAGGATTTGGGGTTTAGGGTTTAGGATTTGGGGTTCAGGGTTTAGGATTTTGGGTTTAGGGTTTAGGATTTTGGGTTTTTGGTTTAGGATTTTGGGTTTAGGGTTTAGGGTTTTTGGGATTTTGACTTCATAGTTGGGGAGTTAAACGAACTCTAAGCCCAAACCCCTACACAGGGAACATGAGGATTCGTACCTCTGCAAAGGTTTCGGCATGTTGTGGGAGTGTTGTTCGCTTGTGATCTTGAAGAAGAAACACTCAACACGCCCCTGAACCCCTACACGCATCAGTGCAGAGCCCTGAACCCTAGCGTGGGGGTCGGAATAAATTGTCCTTCTATCACAGTGTAGTATCAGCTGTCCCGAAACCCAGTAGACATACACCCTATGTCCAGCAACCTTGTTCCCTAAACCCAGGAACCCTCAACCATAGTTAGACCAAGAATCGCCTTTACGCCAAGATCCTGAAGCCTCATTGGGTCCCGGTTGGGGCTCTAGGACCTTTGCCTCCCTCCCCCCCTGCGGGCCCTGCTTTGCAAGAACCACTGTCATCACCACCGCGCGACGATCGTCGTCATCATCACAACACCATGCTCAGCGTCATCCATCGCTAACCCCCCATCGTCATCAACGCGAGCACCACCAGCACCACTTCACGGAACGCGTCGTCATCACCTTTAACATAGGGCCTAAATAATTGCCAATGTTATTTTGGGGGTTCCTTCTTGTAACTCTACAATAAAGAAGCCCAAAACCCTATTAAAATTACTATTGCGCCTAACAGATTGGCACAAGATGTATCTGAGAATTACATGGGGTAGGATCGCGATTGCTCAAGGGCTCACGATCGCCGTGATATGTGCTAGTAATACTAAATGGACAAGTCGGTGGCGTGTCGCAGCTTGCTTCGTTTGTTTCAGAGTTTGGGATTTAGGGTGTTGGGATATTCGGACATGAGGTTTGTTGTTCGATTTAGGCTGTGCGTTGTGATCTGCTGTGATCCTTATACACATGACATGCAAATACTCAGTGCCCACGTATTAATTTATGAACCCTCCATACGTGTAATCAGTTCCCGTACCAAGTTCCAACCCTTTGTTCCACTAGGGCGTCAGCACGTCGCGTGAGTCCGGAAGACCCGGTATCCGCAGAAGAAGTAGAAGATAAGAGTATTGATGAACTTGAACCCAGTCATTTCCTCGAAGCACAATTGTTCGATGGCATACACTGGTGAGTTGCAAGTAAACCGCCTGAGAAAAGGTTCTGGCCCTGCGAGCAGGGAACGGGTGGAGAATGTTTCTGCAAGGCTGCCTACAAGGGATCCTGCTATAGGGGCCTGAATAATTTCAATAGGGTCTAGGGGTATATTCTACTATAGTTTTAAACAGGAACGCCTAACAGGATATTGATATATGTTTAGGCTCCAGTAACATAAGTCTACAAGGGTTTAGGGCCATCCCCTAGGGTTTGGGTTTAGGAGTCATGGAGGTTTCGGGTTTAGGGTTTAGGGTTTGGTCAGGATCAAAGGGAACAGAGGTCTTCGCAAGTTCTTTTGAATGCTTAACTCAGATGTCCCTTTGTGGATTTCCAGGGGCTGCGATAGCAAGCTTAGGGTGTGAATGTGCCCTCATAACTAGCCCTAAACCGCTAAACCCCTACACCGTGACCCGAAACCTTTGGTACCCTACCTATACTCTCCATTGTAGTGCCTTCGTTTGGTCTAACCAATAGTACATTCAGGATCCTATAAGGTAACCCCAAAAAGGAACTACAATGGAGACCATAGGTAGACCCCTATTTCCTGTTCTGAGGCCGTCATCTTTGCTGAGCTCAACTGGACCCCAGGCTCACGAGATTGCTTTGAGCTGCGAGTTGACCCATAGGCCCCAAAGTAGTTCCTTTTTGGGACTACCCTATAGGATTCTATATATAAAAAGGAACTACTATGGGGCCTATGGGTATGCAGTAGCTTTGACAGACGTGTTTGCCACTGCGGCTTGTCAACCCTTTCTGGGGGTTGTGGCCTGTGGATGGACGGTTTGAGTTTAGGCTTCAGGGAAGCCGTGGCATTTGATTCACGCTTGGCTCATGCATCTTGGTCGAAACCTGTTGACGATGCTAAAGACTTTGATGCCCTAAAGCCCAAACCCTCAGCCCTAAGCCCATACAGGGCCACACCCTCGGAACACTTTGGTGAACCTCGTGGGAAAAGTCGAGAAACGCTGTAAGAAAGCAGGATCTCGTGGTCTAGTATATAAATAAATAAAAATAAATATGAATGAATAGACATGCATAAAATATGAGGGGCCTTCATAATTAGACGAGGGTTTGGGGGTATAGTACAGAATAAGTACAATAAGGACTCCAAAATAGTATTGGTAGCTATTCAGGTCCCTACGTCAGCCTGAGAAGCACTGATGACGACAAGAACCCACTCCAGACTCAAGCCACATCCGAAACCGGAGCTTTTTAGGGTTTAGGGTTTATAAACCCTAAACCCGAAACCCTAAACCCTAAACCCTAAGGGGTTTAGGGCTTCAAACTGAGATCCCAAACCCCTTTGATCTACATGCCCTAGGCTAGTCGCCAATGAGTTGCAGGCAATTCGCCCAAGTAAGAAATAGCAAGAAACCCTCAAGCATTGAGTCCAAAACCCTACAAACGGCGAAGGCCCTGATCCGTCTTACAAAAAAGCGGGGACTCTTCCTTACTATAGTTGCACCTGAACTTATAACCCCCAAACCCCATTCTTGTTTGTAAGGCCCCTGTGCTAATCTCCGTTTACTCTTAAAAGGCGTCATCGTCCAGTGCGAAGCACGAGCACACAGGTTGGGACAGAGACTCGGATACCGGATTGGCCATTACTTGGAGGTTCATGGGTAGTTATGAATGGAGCTATTTGTCCCCTAATATAGGTCATAACTACAGTTGCCCTAATTATAACCCTACTTATAACTACCCATGAACCTCCAGGTAGGGCTCAGAGTTTAGAGTGTTTGTTGGCCTCTTCTTCCAGATCTCGGAGTTTAGGCTTCAATTCAAGAGTTTAAAAGAAAGGAGTTCAGGATTCAGTAAACCCTAAACCCTTACGGTTTTAGGGATTAGACTTTGAAGGTGCGGTGTTCTTTGGCTTTTGAGTTCGAGGCACGCCTGCATGGTTGCAATCGGAGTTTAGGGTTTAGGGTTTAGGGTCTGCGGGGGTATATACCCGTAGAACCCCTCAACCCTACACCCTCAGAGAGTTGCTTGAATTGCGGCCTTTGTGTTTTTTTTGCGGCAAGCTCGAAAGCACTGGTGGCCGCACATCCACTGATGGCCCCTATATATGTGCATGGACATTTAGAGCATAACAGAAGAGTTTAAGGATTTGGATTTTAAGGTTTAGGGTTTCGAGCTCTCAAATCCAATTCTAACTCTAAGTAATATAAGGCCCCTATATTAGGGTACAGAAGCCCAACTGAGGAAGAACTCCGTCCTAATCCAGTACCTGTTGCTGGAGGAGTCTGCCACGGATTCCCGGTGCTACAGACGGCTCGAGGACCGACGTCCCAAACCCCATAGCTTAGGATGTGCTTTAAGTTGTTCGTGTTCCGCTGCTTCTGTTTTCGGGCATCACCAAAAAACTAGTTTTGTTGGTTCAGTTTTTTGGCTTACCGTCTGAGAGGGGCCGAATACCTGGTCACATGATTCCTCCACAACTTGTGCCGAAGCCCACTTGGAGGAGGCGGCACGAACTAAGTCCCCTGAGCCTAGAACTAGAAGTCCTAAACCCTAAGCCCCAACCCTAAACCCTTAAACCCCCAAGCACCTAAACACTTCTAGTCCCAGATCCCTTTCCCCCTTAGCTTCAGCCCTGCAAAGCTCACCGGCTTGAATCCCAAAACCTAACCCGACAAGCCCACAAAGCCTCAGCCTTATAGAACTCCTAGGCCCTAAATCCAAAGTCATGCAGAGGAGAAGCATCGACATGCAGGAATGGTCCTGGATGGAGGTGTCACCGGACTTTGGGAGGCTGGGATGCCGACATTTTTTGGGGCTGCTTTGGGCTTGGGGCTTTAGGGTTTAGGGGTTGTTGAGGCTGAAAACACCACAGGCTTTCCGTGTTGAGAGTTCACTGTTCTTCTCCGAAGGGGTGGAGGGTTCGGGGTGAACTTTATATTTCTGGCTTGAACTTGAATGGCTGGATGGCTGGGTCGGACCAAAAGGGGGTGCAGACGAAAAGGTCACCGGCTTGAACAGAGCGGGTTCTGCTGAAAACTGTCTCGAGCCCTAAAACCTACACCCTCAACCCAATTTATGCTCTTGGTTTGTAAGGGCTGAAGGAAGAGAGAGGCGTCAGACTAGGGGGGTTTAGGCCTTCGCTGTGTGGGCGTACAGTGAGGATTCGGAGGCTGGTGCTTCCAGGGGTGTATGCAGTTTGCAGCTCCGGGGCTTGGGCCTCCTATTCTTAAATGGTTAATCAGTCTCGGGACGCCGAACCCTAAACCCTAAACCTAGACCCGAAACCGTTGTTGGCTTTCAAAACCGCAGTAGGTCAGTAGGTGCCGTGACGAGTTAGCAAACTTGGGGCTGGTGAACCTGCTCGTAGGGATTGAGGCTTAAGGGTTTAAGGGGCTCGGCGATTTCTCAATCGCATATGGGTAGTTATCTAAAAGGGACCCTATTTTAGAAAATTACCCATATCTTATCCGCGACGGCTCTTTTGTCCTCCGACTCTCTCGGAGAGCCCCAAACCCGGAGCTTTTGTGACTCAAGGGTCCAGGGCTTAGCGGGGTTTAGGGTGTAGGGACAAAAAAAACTCTCCACTCCAGATCGTTTCCTCCATTCTACTAGAAAGGATTAAACCATGAGCAACAGCATGCCCTTCTAGTGCCAACGCAAGTCTATATTACTTTCCGGAACCCTGTTCTATCCGTTAATTAAGGGCCTTTTGTTCGTATTTTTGGGCTGGCAGCCCACATTTTTCGTTAGCCTGGCGGTTCCCCCTTTCCCTGTCAAAGTACTTCGACGGGCACCCTAAACCCTAAACCCTAAACCTTTGACGGGCACCAGGAAGACCATGTCCTCTCCGCACAGGGCCAGGACGTGGCAGGGTTTAGGGTTTAGGGTTTAGGGTTTAGGGCAGTGTAGGTTTCGGTGTGATGTTCCTGCTCTTGGTTCCTGCTTGTGCTCTGCAGGGTCTTCACAATTCTGCTCTGAAACCTCCCAGGTACCTACTATATAGGGCCCCAGGGGCTCTGGTACCCTAAATAGTAGGTAACTGGGGGGTTAGGGTATCTTAAGCCCTAAACCCTAAACCGCTTTTGCTGAAGAGGTTTAGAGTTCTGCTGCAGGAGCATGGTGTGAGATTGTCAGGTGTTTTCAGACTGTAGGCTTGGGCTTGAGGAGTTTAGTGTTTCTGATTTTTAGGGTTTAGGGTTTTTAGGGTTCAGGGCTTTTAAGGTTTACGGCTCTTAGGGTTTAGGGCTTTTAGGGTTCAGGGTTTTTGGGGTTTAGGGCTTTTGGGGTTTTGGGTTTTTAGGGTTTAGGGCTTTTAGGGTTTTAAGGGTTTTAGGGCTTTTAGGGTTTAGGGTTCAGGTTGTGTTTCAATACTTAGGGATAGTGCCCTTTCTGGGAATTTCCCTTAAGACGACAGAAACCCCTGAAAGCATTCGCAGGAGGACGCGTGTCGCAGTGGTAACCCTGCGAGAGCGGCTTGGACTATGTGGCAAATGGAGTCTTTTCATCCCTTCCCCGTCCTCCTTGTACTATAGTCATAGGGATTGAAACCAATATAGGGGCCTTAATAATTAGAATAATTAGGGTGTATTATATTATAAATATAACCAGGAGCCCCCAAACTAGTATTGGTAATTATTTAGGCCCTTACATTAGGGTTCAGTTTTGTCAGGTTCGGGCGTTCGGTTTCTGAGGCTTGGGGCTTCGAGTTCTGAGGCTTACGATTTAGGGTTCTGAGGTGCAACGATTTCATGCTTAGGGTTTACGGCCATGGCTGATAGGGTTTATAGTTTAGAGGGCTTGGTGTTTCCAGATTTAATGTTTCCACTTTTGTTTAATGGCTTCAGGTTTGGGGCTTAGGGTTTAGGGCTTAATGGCGCTGGGCTTGCTTTACTCCTACGCGACGTTGCAGCGGCGAGGATATTCCAAACAATCCCTTGGTTTAGGTCTTGTGCTCCCCAAAACCCTGAACCCTGAACCCATAAGCCCTGAACCCTAAACCCTAAACCCAGCCCAACTTCTAAGGTAGAACCCATGGGCCCCTAGTATGGGCCCTTAACCCTGGGACCCTAATATACCTACTATAGACCCTATATATACCCTTAAGGGGCCCTAGAATCCCCTAAGGGCCCATGTTAGGGGCCCATGCGT